GATTCTCCCCACTTCACACTGCTGGCCAGAGCCACTTTGCCGGAGTCCGGTGATCACCTGTTCTCTGCATCGGATTGTTTAGGCTTTTCACGAAAGCCCCGGAGCTTGGAGCTTCGTTCGATAACAACATTCTTAGCTTGTACCTACTGCCAGCGCGGGTCCTTTTGCGGTAGAAACGGATGTGTTCTGATGCCGCTGATGCTGGATGCACGGCTTCTTCGGTTCCTTCTCTCTTGAAGCTGATGTTGGCTTCCACATTCCACAGGTCCCCAGATTCTTCGCACATGTTGGGCAGCATTGACATGCGGATTCTTGTGAGTCCAGTTTAGTTCATGGGCATGTGTGCACTGCATTGTCTAGGATATTTTGGAATCGACAGCAGCATTGCCTGTGAGTCCAGTTCCCGTCATTCGCATTTGTGCATTGCATTGTCTGGGATGTTTTGAATTCGGCAGCAATTTTGCAACAACACCACGCGGGCCAAAGGATCCGCTTAACGTTTACAGCCGTTACGTCAGCACTGCGTCTTTTCTCATGTCGCGAAATTCAGAACATGATGCTTTGTTGCCTAGTTCTCGATCCGATTGTATGCCGACTGCGTGTCTCTCCCAGTCCTCTGTCGCCAACCCTGTCCATTATGTAGCTTTCGTCCCGGCCCGTGGCCCTCAAGCATACACTTATGTCTGCATGTATGTTTTTTGCAGCGCGTGCGCAATCATCTGCATGTGTGTAAATATATCTATATATATATATGCAAATAAGTTCACACACTCACAGGTGCACGGTTAATGTATATATGCATGCTTGTACGTGTTCACCGTATGTACGCGTGTAGAAGTGTTTATGTGCGAAAATGTGGGTTCATGCACATGGAACTTATGTTGACACTTCTTCTTGTTTGCCATTTGTCTCTCACGAAGCAGCAACTGGATGCTAAGTTGGCCAGGCACTGCCACCACGAGCACTCTGTCGTCAGCAACTTGCACAAATCATACGGAAGCTGTTGGGCTTCGTTGCATTTTTTCAATGCCAGCCAGAGCTACACCTTTCAAGTAAGCTGTGACCCCCCAACCCGAAGGCAAGCTTGTTTTTTGTGTCCCGGTTGCGGTACCGTCCGAAACCTGAATATCGCAGCAGGTAAACATGTAAGGATCTCGGTGCATTCAGCCGTGCAGGAGGAGGTTTCAACCGGATGCCCACCCACTGACGGAAGCATTGTTGAGGCTTCGAGGTCTGATCACGAGCATAATGGATCATAATGGGACATTCTTCAAATTCCAAAGGGGGTTTCCAGCAGGGCGACTCAGGCTGAGGGGGTGCATTCCTTGTTGCCGCCCCCCCCCCCCCCCCCCCACGTACAAGCCATGGTCCCGCAAAAGCCTTGTTTTCGCATGTTTTGTAAGCCAAAATCCGTTTGCTCGAAGACTGCAAGAAGTTCTGGTCAGATCTTGGTCGTGTTTGTTCGTGTCGGGCTTGTGACTTTGCTCGGCCGCATTGCTAAGTAGACCTGCCGTTTCCCGGCATGTTCTGCCAGCCGAGGTGACGAGGTCAAGCACTACAACATCATCTCAAACTCGTTCTTTGACAATGCTCCGCAACCGATATGTAGTGTATAGTTTTGATTTGCTTGGATGTGATTGTGTGGAGTCAGTGAGAACCTCGAGTGATAGATTTGGGTAAGGATGCCATGATTCTGCTGAACACCCCTGCGCTGATGCTGTTTGACGGGCAGTTGAAATAGGATCTTCTGAGGACTTGGACAACTATGTCTACAACCCAGACCTTCCTTCGACCAGTAGTGGCATCTGGGCAATTCTGTAAGCCGTGACCTTCGTAAGTGCATGTGGCGCGCCGAAGGTTTCAGGTCATTCAAAAGTCAGAGAAGCCTCGGAACATGCCTTCGTGCTGAAAAAGATTCCAACGACTTAGTGGACCTTGTGCAACAGGCGGTGTTTGCTTGGTCCTGTGTGTTTCGCTCTGCCCCGTTGATATGTTTTGTGCATTTTAGTGCTATCCACTCTGTCCACTCCTTTGTACTAAGAATGCGAGCACATTGTCCTTGACACTGCCGATTTGCGACCCTGCCATCCTCCGGGCTGTGAAGACTGCCACTCGGTCTCGAAACGCACCCGTTGCGGTATACTGATACTTGTAGTAAACGATGGGGTTCCTGAACCTGCGGCTGCGCTCTGGGTCGTCTGACGAAGATGTTGATGGATGGCCCACATGCTGCCCGAATTGGGTTCCGGGATTTCGTTTGGGATGCCGTTTCGAGAGACCAGGAGTAGGCAGCCGAGAGTAGCTGTCAGCTGGAAGACGTATTCTTCTCCAAAAACGCGGCTTGGTCTTCCAGGTGTCCGCAGTTTCTGTTGCTGCGCAGCGTGTGTGAATGCAGAACCATCTCGCAACATCATAAGCTTCGGCCTTTGAGCCTTTTCAAGGACTTATTTGCAGAGATGAATCGATTCGTGCCTGCCCCAGACATGTATCCTTGCTTTTTGGTTGGTTCGAACCACAATCAGAGTGAAATCCCTCAGGTCTGTCCTTCGTGAGGTACTCGTAGCATGTTGTTGACAAACGCTCTTGTGCACATGCACGTCCTTATGCACTTCATGTCCACATATCAAGTCTTAGTTCAGCTCAGTCAGCTCAGCACCAAGCCCTCAAAACGTCTGAAAACAGGTGGGTTAATGCAACTATACGCCTCAATTCATGGGAGACTTCGCAACCCCGCGCTTCGCCACCTGAGTGTCAAGACCGCTTGCGAGGGTCTTAGGCCGGAGAGTTCGAGCCATGAGCGGCGAAGAGTTTTAAGGAAATGTCGACTTTTAGCGACTTCCCACAAAGGCTCAAGATAGTGTTGCGAAGTGAGTATGGCGATTGGACCGGAGGACCTTTGCTTGCGTATACGCTTCCAGTGTGCGGCCAAGCGCCGCTTTTCCAAGCTCTTGGGCAGTCGAGATCCAATCACTGCCACAACAAACACGTAGGTACACATATGGACTTGTGAACTTGGGCACCCGCGCAAGGAGCATAGCGAGCTCTGAACTGAATCGGCATTCCTTGCAGTGCACCGCTTTGCAAGCCCGCGGTCAACCAGGGAGTGCCTTTGCCTGCTGGCAAGACATCACACAAATCAGTAATTCAGCAGGCATCCATCGGCGAGAACATGGACTGCAAGGACGTGGCTTGGTTGCAGCTGGTAGGCATGTCGGGTATTCTGCTTGTGAAGTCCGTCGAGAGATCTCTGAGAGGGGGCAACGCAATTTTGCAGGCTTTTCCTTGATGTGCACAGCTTCTGAGGTCTCAGGCGAACTGCTCGTTTTCATGGCTCTGAAACGGTGCCCCGAGGACATGCAAATAGAGACGGGCGATAGTCAGAAGAAAGCTTTCACCAGGTTTGATTTTGGCCTGCCTCATGTGGCTTGGGGTTCATTCGATCTATCAAAGGGGTGCTGCTCGGGAGCTCCACAGACGGCCTTGTAACTCGTCAGATGCGACAAGGTGATGAGGTGCATAGGTGTCGTTGGCCCCTGAGCACCTCGAACATCGAAGGAGACGTTACAAGCGTTGGTGGAGACCTCAGAGCACTGCCTGCATTCTGCGAGGCCTCGGTAGACACAGCTCATTCATGGTAACCCGGTGGAGATCCTCAAATAGCATTTTCTGAAGGCATTTCTCTGTCCCATCCGTGCCGCTCTGTTTCCTGCATGTCCGTCAAGCTTGGTCCTATTATTCAAAACTGTGACTGGGCATCGTCTGCCTGACAACCCCGATTGAAATTCGTCGTCCGAAAGTTCGGGCTCAGACACCCGCATTTCTCGAAACAGTCTCCGATGGGCTTTGACACCAAACGGCGTTTGTGCTCTTCAGCAACACCGGGAGACTGCATGACTCGACTTGGCAAACGGGTATGTGGGGTAGGCTCTGATCTCGGAGACTTACACGACGAGAATCCTGCAACCTACTGTAGGCATCAGTTGCTCATACGTTCGATAGAAGGAGTCGCGGGAGTATTGGATTTGGATGCGGAATGATAGATATGTGGATCGTCAGGATTACCCCTCATCCAAACCACAGCCGCACCCAACTTGGCGTTCTTCTGGAGATGGCATCTGCAGTTCGAACAGATGCGATAAAACGTGAAAGACTTCCGTCCACTGTTCCCAGTGCGGGGGTCGTTCCCGTACTTGTAGCAGCTTGCATGCGAAAGGCGAACTTGGACAATCGAGAACTGATCGCACATGCCCGGGGCGTTTTGTTGTTTTGCACCCGCGGTTCCTTTGCCGTGGTGTCTAGTAGCTCCTTGAGTTTGTAAAGGGCGGTCGGGAGGGTGGTTGGACTGGCGCTTCTCCCTGCCAGAATTGTCGCCTCGACAGTTCTGGTTAATTCTAGTTTTCGTGAAGTTTTATGAAGTTATGCGACTAAGCCCATGTTGGGAGCCCAGGTGTTGAGTCTCTCGCCTACCTCGCCAAGCTTGTTTGCACAGAACAGCTGCATGCTCAGCACAGCATGACCTTGAGAGCGGAGTCTTGCAGTGCCATGCCTTTTTTGATGACTCGACGAATGGTTGACCCAGTCCAGTCCCGGTCCCAATTGCACCAAGAACGCTCCAGCCTTCAATGCAGACTTAGCAGGATGAATTGCTGAAAGTAAATGTCCTTGCCTCATCCTCGGAGCAGCGTCAGTCTGCCATACCTATCTTGCAACTGGCTGCACCACTCGGCTCACCTTTGTTAGTGCAGGAATTCAGAGTGCAGATGCGGGGCGACTGTATCTTGTGTGATGTCCTTTAGGCCTGTTACGGAGCCGAAAAATCAATCCAAAACGCTCCTTGATGGAAGTCCCATGTCCCAGAAAGAACAGAGTCACAGAGTGTGCCACGCACTCTTCGACTGGGGATGTCCCCTTGACAGAGCTGAGAAGGTACTTACCTTTCAGCCAGACCCGAGTCAAATCCATCATAATTAAGCAGCCCACTGAATCCAGCAGCCACTGCCATGTGGGAACTTCGGCCGTTTTCTGCTGGATCTGTTGGCAGCGTCGGCGGCAGGGATGCCACACCCACGAGCTCCAGCAATGAGGCCTTCCAGCGCAGCCCTGAGCGCTAAAATTAGTTTGAAAAGTGTTCCTGTTTGTGGAGTGGCTGAAGGTGCGACATTTGCTTGACTAATGGCAAGCTGGGTGTTGATGCTGTTTCTCCTTTGACCGGTTCTGTGGTCGAATCTGCTTCGTTATTGATTCTTGCTGAATGTGCCGAGCTCTTGTGTGGTGATTGTAGCTGCTGTTCTTGTTGCTGATTGTGATCGAGCTTCGACATCCATGCCTTATGGTCGTACAGTTTTCGGCAACTTAGTATGTGAGTGCACATGCATTTGTGTGTATGTGTGTGTACATATGTACGCACTTAGGTATGTAGGCATCATTGTATGTGTATATCTATGTACGTATGTATGTATGTATGCATGTATAACATATGTATATGTATATGTATATGTATATGTATGTGTATATATATATATACATATGTGTTTATGTGTGCAGGTGTGTGTGTGTGTGTGTGTGTATATGTGTGTGCGTGTGCGGGTGTGTGTATGTGTGTGCGCGTGCGTGTGCGTGTGCAGGTGTGTGTATGTGTGCGCGCGCGCGTGCGTGTGTGTGTGTGTGTGTGTGTGTGTGTGTGTGTGTGTGTGTGAACCTCCCTAGCACATGGGAGCAGAGGGTCACTCCTTCACGATTGCAGGGGAGTGCGGCATGGCTGTGGGACCGCACTCAACGAAGCTACCACAGTCATGGGATACCGAGTCTGATCAACTCGGCGTACCTGCAAAACCTTGAGCTGGGGCCCCTGTGCCAGCCCGATTAGAAGGCCCCTGTGCCAAGATTAGAAGGCCCCTGTGCCAAGATTAGAGAAACATACAACATACTCTCCTCTTCTCACTCTCTTGGCCGAATCAGTCAGTGTGACTAGCGTGGGTCGTTGAGACTCCAGAGCAACGGCTTTCCGTCATGGCGCCGTGGTGACCCTCCGGGGAGACCGGTGATGAACCGGGTGTTCAGCCTTCGTTCAGATCGTTCAGATTCTCCCGATGCTACTTTATCTCTCTCTCTCTGATGCTCGCATGTGCGTCTGACATGAGTGCAGGTGCGGTAATGGACGGCTAATGCGGTAAGTGCGTCTAGTGTGCAGGTGCTACCTCCCTAGTCTGTCCCGTAGTCGACCGCTTCTTTATTTCTCAGGGAATGCAAGGGCATGTGCATCCGACATGAGTGCAGTTGCAGTAATCGACGTCTAGTGCAAGTGAAACAGCGCTCTCTTCGGAGAGTACTCGGCCTCTCGCTTTTCTCTCCCCCTAACCCCACACCCTAAGTTGAGGACCACGCAGGACGTGGTACCTCTCATTCCATTGCTCCTGGGTGCTTTTCTGCACAGCTGGAGGATGGTCCGCCGCTCCTGGGTGTCTTTTGCTACACAGCTGGAGGGTGGATGTTCCCTAATCCTGCTACTGGCCTTGGACCCTGCTCGGGTAGCTGGGCAGTAGTCACTCCGTTCCTGGGTCTTCGGTGACAGCTGGAAGGAGTGTCCTCACCCTAATCTCTCCCCCTAATTACAACATACAAACACATGTGCAATACATTGGTCAGAAGCTGCTAGCCCTGGACCCCTTCGAGGGTAGCTGGGTAGCAGTCTTTCCTTCAACCCTCCTTACTGTTGCCTTTGGGGGCCGTCGCGCCCAGCTGAGGAACAGTCCCCGGCTGGATCTGGGCCCTTGCAAGGGCAGCTGATCAGCCTTCCTTCCCCTCTGTCGCTTCTGGGGGCTTGCGTGCCCAGCTGAAGGACAGTCCAAAACCCTAACTTTAACGCCTCACTACATCTTGGACTACCACAACATCCCGGACCACACCGACAAGATTTGCAAGCGGGCATTGCAGCCCACAGGGTTTTGTGGTTTAGTTTTGGTTCGTTTAGGTCTGGGAGCCCTGGCGTGGCTTTATTTCACTGCACACAGCCGCCCCAAGGTGGGGCTGTGTGTGTGTGAACCTCCCTAGCACATGGGAGCAGAGGGTCACTCCTTCACGATTGCAGGGGAGTGCGGCATGGCTGTGGGACCGCACTCAACGAAGCTACCACAGTCATGGGATACCGAGTCTGATCAACTCGGCGTACCTGCAAAACCTTGAGCTGGGGCCCCTGTGCCAGCCCGATTAGAAGGCCCCTGTGCCAAGATTAGAAGGCCCCTGTGCCAAGATTAGAGAAACATACAACATACTCTCCTCTTCTCACTCTCTTGGCCGAATCAGTCAGTGTGTGTGTGTGTGTGTGTGTGTGCGTGCTGGTCGATGGCCTTCTACAGGCATGTGCCAAGGGATGTCCATGTCTTCACATTGCGAAGGAGCCAACGGCTGGACCTGGCACCCGTGTTGAGCCACCTGCCAGAGTTTGTGCCTCCAGGATCTCCGGGAAGTCTCTGGGTCACATCGTGCCTCATCGTGTCCTCAGAAAGGTGCAAAGAGTTTGTATGCCTTTCATTACTTTGGCGGCAGCGAACTGCATTCCAAATTCAGGCAAGTTCTGGAACTGCAGTCGAACCGTTTCCCGCATTGTTCGTCTATCCGCAAGTATCATCCTCGCATCGCGTCTCTTGACCCCGTGATTTTCCCAAACTATGCTTGTTTCTCAAGTCAGTTCAGATACGGTATGAACGAGTCGGACAGGGATCATACAGGAATCAACAAACACGCAGTCGAAGAAAGAAACAGACAGACAGACATACATTGACTTTGGCGCCTTCCTTATACTGCGCTACAGTGATCGTAGCTAGGCAGTTGCGTGGCTAATGTCACAATGGGGAGTACCAGTAAGACATGTCGAGGACGCCCACTTAGGCGGAGGATTCATACAAAGAGTTGTTGAAGATGTGCGGGGATCCGGCTCGCACAGACGCTTGACACGATAAGCAACACCTCCGCCGGGCGGCTCTACCCTAGAATGTATTTACATTCTACGACAATTGGTCAGACACTCCCGTGATCCTGCGCATGTTTGCTGAACCCTTTGATTGCAGCCTGAAATGTCGAAAGTCTTCTGCCGAAGCGTAGGCCTGGAAAGACACATCATCATCACAGTTTTCCCTGCAACACATAAGAAGGTCGTCCTTTCTTGTTTTTAAATTCTTGTGAACACCAGAGGGTTCCCGCCGACATTGACATACTCACACACTTGCATTTTTCCTGGCAGCCGATCGCGAATCAGGGTGTATCATGGTGTGTCGAACAAGACATCGGTGTTTCTGTTGCAATGTTCCCACCCACCGTACCCATAACAAGCCATGTCGGCTAATGACTAGATTTGTTTTTGCCCGCGGATTCGAGAATGCAGCTCGCACACGGGAACTGCCATTCATTGGAGCAAGCTGAAGAGCCGCCAATTGTCTGCGACGCCTGAAAGCTCGCAGATCAGGTCCATTTCAGTTAGAATGCCCAACATGCAGCGGTGTACCCGGGTGCAGCGGCAGGGAACAGAGCAGAGATAGCAAAGTGGGCATAGCTCTGCGTGCAACGCCATTTGTTGCCCCTGACGAAAGTGGACATGGACTTGGCGTTGGCATGTGTGTGTGGAAGTGGTCGCGAGGCGACTCTGGTCGAAAAGGCAACTGGCTTGTGCAAAGCGTGAATCGTCCCCAAACAACTCCGAAGTTCTGAAGTTCTCGAAGTAAACGGCATGGAAAAGAAGCCCAAACCAGCTGGCTTCTTTCTAAGGGCGATCAACCGGCTGCTCACCTCGAAGGCTCAGGCTTGGGAGTCAAAGCAAAGACGGCGGGAGTCCAGATCTGGAGGCAGGACTCCTCTGGGTGTGGCGGGGCAAGCTCTCTTGGCTTTAGCAGGGCTCCTCGGCTTTTTGGGGGCTAATCACATTGCGCCAGATCTCGGTATGTAGGACGAGCTCCAATCAAGCCTGTGTGAAAGTGGTTCATGGAGGTATGTCGCATGCCTAGTCAGTTGGTGTCACCGCCTGACGGCCCCGTTCCGATCGGTTTCAATGGGCCAATTTTCAGTTGCAACTAGTAATTCGCCTTAGGCTGCTCAACGAAGTCTTCCTCATTGTGTCCACATTTCAAGTCTCGAAACACGGCCCGGACTCCTCATCTGCATTTGCTTGAGCAGGCAGAACTCAAGGCCAAGCAGGCCAAGCCGGCCAAGGGCGGAAGGTCGGCAGCATCAGCAGCAACCTGTCCTCTTCGGTTATCCAAGAGACAGATGCTCGGCACAACTCCGCCTTCGCCGAAGAAGTGCAAACGCATTCCACGCCTTGGCCCGCATAGCACCTCCACTGATCCGCCCCAGGAGATGGACTGGCAAATGCGGCAGCAGAAGCGCGAAGCAATCTCGGGAAGGTACCTTGGACCTTTGATCACTTCAGAAAGTATTAAAGTGCGGCGAGTTTCTCAGCAGCTCGTACCACACTTCCGTGACACTTCCTATCGGTTGCTGGCAGATGGGCTGATTTCAATCGAGTCGAGTTGGGACATACGTATCATATGGAGACTCCCCATGCAGGATTCTCAGTGAAGGCCTGTCCCTTCAAGAACCGGCTCTGGAAGCGCAGATTGGACAGTTTCAGAACATTTCAACCTTGGTCCTAGAAGGAACGGCGCGGTCTTCGTGGAAGGGGACAGCAAGGGTACTGAATGTCAGACAGGCACCTTTAAGCTATAACTATGCTTTCCTGCCATTTAAGTTTGGCGCTTTGCGACGTCTCGTTTCTTGTCGGCGCAGCATACCAATGTTGACCTGCCTGCATGTTTGGTTCATAAGATGCGCCCCTGCTTGCAAAGTGAAGTGTTCAGGGTGAAAGGCTTCCGGTCAACACCTTACAGCCGCTTGAAAGGGCAGTCAGTCCACACACAAGACAAGAACTTGGAGGACGAGGATCTCTGGAACTACTCGAAGACCCTGCAATGACACTGCCGACGATGATGGCAGTGGCAAGTGCGATGATGATGACAACGCAGCAGGTGGAGTGAGGACACTGATGTGCAAGGGAATGGTCGTGTTGGTGCTCTCTGTGATGATGACGATGATGATGATGATGCTGATGGTGATGCTGTTGATTCACTGTTGATGATGAATATTAACATGATGTTGCGATGGCGACTAGGCTATTGAGGCATCGTTTCAGGATGAGGGCGATTCTGGCAAGGCTGAGAGTGACTGCGAACTTGTTGGTCAGGCTCGATGAGGAAAAGACTGAGGGTGAAGATGACAATTAGTGTGTTGATGGCTTGACATTAATGGTTGCGGTTGTGGTAACGTCGCCGACGTTATGGTGATGGTTATGTTACTGATTCGAGGTCAGTCGAAGCCAGGAAGTTTCTAGGTTACAAAGCGACGAGTGTCCAATCTTTAAGCACAATCAGACATAACATTGCTTGCCGGCGTTTTTCGAAAAATCTCCAAAGCGTCCCGGGTGTTCGGTTTCCTTGAACGACCGGCTTGGCTTCTTGTTGTGCAAGTCGCCGGCTCGAAGTCTTGAGAGGATAGGTTTGCAACCGCCTCCCAACTCACCCGGCAAAAGACTTTGCAATAAGAAACTCAGCAGCTCAAGTTCTCGAACTGAGTGAACAAGCATGGTATTTGACCTCATTCTTTGCTTCAGCGGCCATTCGTTTCTTAACTGGAGTTGTCACCGAATAGCAAGATGGCTACCATGTCAGCTTCCCGCGGTGTGAAAGGACTCCCGCGTGAGTCAAGGTTCCGTCCGTGCTAGGGCTGGAGGAGCTACAGAGCTTTGGATTCAGAGGATTGGAAAAATTCAGGGTCAGAGAAGACTAGGGTTAGATCGAAGGCGCAGATCGTCATCTTGTGACCCCAAGGTTTTGGGCACGCATCGATCGATCCAAGTCCAAGGACACAATCCCGGACGAGGCGTGTGAACATTTTGCGGAAGGGTTGGCTCGGATGTCCGGCGTGGTTTGAGACTTTCGGCGAGTTGACACGACATTCCTTTGTGCTTCGGCCATCGGCATACATAATGCATGCTGTTGCTCGACTAGTACTTCTGCTACTACTGCTGCTACTATTATTGCTACTACACTACTACTACCACCACGACTACTCCTTTCCCTGTCTTCTGCTACTACGACAGAATTGTTTACTTACTTATACTTATACTTATATTTATACTACTACTACTCCTGCTACTACTACTACTACTACTACTACTACTACTACTACTACGACTACGACTACGACTACGACTACGACTACGACTACGACTACGACTACGACTACTGACTACGCTACTGCTACTGCTACTGCTACTGCTGCTACTGCTACTGCTACTACTGCTACTGCTACTACTGCTGCTACTGCTACTGCTACTGCTACTGCTACTGCTGCTACTGCTCCTACTGCTACTGCTACTGCTACTGCTACTGCTACTACTGCTACTGCTGCTGCTGCTGCTGCTACTACTGCTGCTACTTCTGCTACTATTGCTATAACACTAGAACCACTACTACCATTTCGACCTCCACTTCGACACCACTACTACTACCTCTACCATGACCACTACCACTGCCACTACCACCACCACCGCCACTACTACTACAATGACTGCGGTAGTGCGAATTGCCTCCAGCATTACCGGTATAGCCTGAGGTTATTTTACTTGCGTGCGTCCTGTCCGCATGCAGGACTCTACGATTTTCCCCAAAAGTCTTCCATCGAAGCATTCTCAAAAGACAAAGATGCGCTCTGGTCTCATGGCTTGCACTGGAGTCACTGGAGCTGGGCATTGGACTGTTGGCAGCGGGTTCAAAGTGCATCGTTGTCACGCGTTCATCCCGAGTCTGTTCAACACATAAGGCGAATTGAAGTCTTAACCATCATGCACTGTAGATACTTCGTATTCGTGTCAAAGCTTGGTAGCCAGCCCCGCTACTCGCACTGGTAAGATTAGCACAAGTGTGTCGGTGTGTGTGTGTGTGTGTGCTAAAAAAGCCTTGAGACCTAGACAAGGAAGTATTGTTAACATGTGCTCGCAAGTCTCGTCTGCAGTTCGCCGCCTCAGTGGCAGTAGTGTTGGCCATGGTTGCTAGCGCATGTCCTGGACCTGCTGCTACGGTATCATCGCGGACCATAGTGCATACAACGCTTACCCTTGCAGTCGTGTACATTGGTTTGTTCCCGGCTCGTCATCACTATTGTTGCCAGGTTGTTCGGTCTTGTAACGAGAGCTCCCTATGCAGAGCCCCCCGAACTCTAAACCACCTAGTATCATCACATTCACTGTGTGCTCCATGATTTTGAGCCTGCCATGGTGTTCGTCCTCCAATATCCTCACCACTGGGTGACCTCCATCTTAGACTTGCGTTGCTGGCTTCTGGGACAGCTGAAGCATGTGGATCCACACTTCAATCAGCTTATGAATCCAGGGCATCTAAGTCCCAGGGTCAAAACTTCTGAACACCCATGCGGCCGACATGCAAGGCCTGCAAGATTTGCTCTTCGACGACGACCGGAATCCCCTCAGCGATGCGGAGTCGGCAGTCCACTCAGCACCTCGGATGCTCACGCTCGAAATGTTGCACACCCTTTTACGACAGGCTGATCGCGAAAGTGCGTGCAGCGAGTGTGCAGGACTCCGGCGAGGACGACCTCGATCTGGTAGCGGTCACCATTGAGAAGGCCGGCGGGGGTGAAACTCAAAAGCTTCGGGAGTGCGCATTTATTTCTGGGTGTCCCCACCTTATAGTAGAAAATCTCAGTCAGGTACACGGAGGATTCGGGATCGTTGCAGTTCCCTGGGTTTTCTCCCAACAATCGGTTTCCCGATCAATTGCTCTGTGCCCCACAGGTGAAGTGCCGGCGCGTCGGCACTTCCATGGGCCTTAGCCACTTCTTTGGTAGCACGTGCCTTTGAAGCACATGGCAAGCGAACCACGCGCATTTCCATTGACTGACCAGCGCAAGACTGGAGCTGCTCTTCCAAATCTTAGCCGTTTCTTGAAGCTTAAACTCTGCTCAGACCAGACTGATAGCAGAAAAGCGACGACTTCCAAACGTGTCCCTTCGTTGTTCAGGACCAGAAACTCCGTCACAGGCCGCATTGTCATGAAGGAAGACAGGCGCCGACTCGATACTTAGAAGTACAGCTTGGAGCTTTTGTACCGTACATCCCAGAAATGCGACTTGACTACATGCGGGGTTGGAACAAAGGGAGCTTTCGCCGGCACGAAACAACATCTAACTGCATGTTCTGTGCAGTTTAACTTGAGTGTGCCGCAGTGCAGAGCATGTTGGGCTGTGAGCCGAGATCCGAAACTGAAGTATGAAACGGCGCAAGCTTCCCTTGTCGGCAGGTATTTGCCCGGCTTTCTGCTAGTGGACATTTTTGGTCGGCGCCGGCTCGTCGGCAGCCCTCGGCAGCTGTGGGAGGATTGGCGTATTCAGGGTTTGTTTGGGAGGAGGCTTGCGGGTCCGGCAGGTTCTGCTTTTATGCAACCACCAACCGTGAATGCTTGACACGATTTATGGTTCCGGCTTTGAGGGCGTACAGACTGTCAGGGTACCTTTCAATTGCCGTCTTTCAATAACCCAGACTCCCCACTCTCGCTCGCGGGTGCATCCGGACTCCACACACAACACAGAGAATGAAGAGCATGCGATGCAGGATCACTATATCTTCAGACCGTATGTCATGGCCAACCGGACCTGGATATATCACAAGCCTGAGCCTGAGTCAGCTGGTCCGGCTGCAACTTGCTTCGCGGCTTTCAGAAGTGACAGTCTGTTGTTCCAGGTTTCCGAACGGAGGGTCAGGTCATGGATTGGAGGACTTGCCAGAGAAAGCTTCTGAGGTTTGCGAAAGATCCCTCCAAGCTGGCGACTGTCAATGCCAAAGATTCAATGAACGGCATGATCAAAAAGTGTCTTGTCGCGCGTGGGGAGCTGTTTTATCAGTTTCGATTGGGGGTCTAGGGTTGTGCAGGCGCCTTCTTTTTCGGGATGTGTTTTGGAGGGATGACGCGGCAGGAAGGAACCAAGGAAGGAAGAGAGAAAGGAAGAAACTAGAAAAGAAGTTCACCGGCAGGAAAACGCACAGACACAAGAACTCAGACACAAGAACATAATGCAAAGAAGTCGAGGAGCAAGACAGCAAGGCAAGGAGCGAAGGCCCTGTTCTTGCGTGCAGCAGAAAGCCGGCTGTGCATTCAGACAGAACGCTTTGTGGTGGTATGCAAGAATGTAGTTACCATGGCATGGTTCTTGGTGATATATGATCAGACATGTTTCAGCTCCTTCTTTCGAGGTGCTCAGCTAATAGCCATAAAGGCCGGATCCTGCAGATTGGAATTCACCACGAAAACCAGGATCCTGCACTCGCACCCTCCTCTCCCAGAAATGCGGCACACCCCCCTGAAAAAAAAAAACAAGAAAGAGCTAGCAGCTAGCACACAGACACAAGGAATTCTCGGCTTTTAGAGAGAACGGACGAATCCCCTAGCAGGATCTTGGAGCTGCAGTGCGTGGATGTCGACATCAACAGCGGCCGACACTCACCGCTGATGCTGCATCCTGGCTGAGAGTTGAACAGCTTTTGCCTCCCCTTACCAGCGGGAGATCGGAAGGTCTTAGGTGTTGTCGTCTCCAACATGCCAATGGCAACACACGACGGGTCCAGGAACAGTCTTGGTTTGCTCAAGTAGCGAGGCCAGGCTGAGGCCGCAACTAGAACTTCAAGATATATGCTGGACAGAGGGGTGTCGAGTTGCTTTTTCTGACTGGATCTTGGGTTGCAGGTGGATGGTGTGCATCAGTGCCTCGGCTTCAGAATGTTCCAGATCTTTCCTTTAATCGTGTCCGAAGCTCAGTGAGTGTACGTGAGTTTCTTGGCCTCAACCGAACCGAGCAGCTACTTCGAGTTTCCGAGTTTTGCGTCAAGCGGAGAGACTTCTTTGCTACATGGCAATGGAGAGAGTACAATCCAAGGCATGGGTTCCACCTGTCGGTGAGAGGGGTCTGGATTTAAGAGGTTGCAATGGTTGACGGCTTCTTGTGGAGACTCCTTTTGGTCTCCTTGCACTCTCCTGCGTAGCGTGAAGCCGCCTGTCAAGCAAGTATACATAGGTGAGCCATTGCAAAACCGGAAACTGGGCCTTGAATCAGAGACTGCGCATCAGAAACCAGCCGTGCATCAGAAACTAGAAACCGCCACGCATCAGAAAATGCGCATCAGAAACTGGAGGTGGGAAATCTGAAACTGGAGTTTGGGAGCTTGAAAGCAAATGCTACTGAGAAGAGAGCATCCGCGGCCCAACCATGATAATGGCATGGTCTAATGCGCTCTGAGAAGAGCCAGCCATGATGACGTCCATGGTCTAAAGCATCCAAGGCCCAACAGAGCGTGCATGGCCCGTCTCACGGTGGGACCATGATACCATGGCCTAATGCAGTGTGAGCACAAAGCATCCAGGGCAAAACAGAGCATCCATGACCAAACCATGATACCGTGGTTTGAGGCATTCTGACTCCATGGGGGGGGGCTGCTGGGGATGATAACGTCCATGGTATAATGAATTCTCAGCACAAAGCATCCGGGGTCCAACAGAGCAACCATTGCCGAACCGTGATACCATGGTCTGCTGTATTCTGATTCCATGGGGCGGGGTTGGGGGGCGTGATAACGTCTATGGTCTAAGGCATTCCGAGCACCAGCATCCTGGGCCCAACCATGACAATGTCCATGGTCTAATGCGTTCGTTCACCATGCACTCAGTGCCCAACCGATAACGTCCATGCTCGGATGCATCCGTGCATGCTGAGAGCAGAGCTTCCATCATGAATCATGGCCCATGGTCTGCTGCAATCTGACAAGAGCATGCAGGGGGGGGGGGCAATGATAAGGTCCATGGTCTAATGCGTTCTGAGCACGGAACATCCACGGCCAAATCATGATGACATCCGTGGTTTTATTCTTCTGAGCCCAAACCATCAATGACCCATCCATGATAACTTCCATGGAAACATCATCCAACCACAAGAATCTTTGTCTTCCAAATAACTTGGATTGAAACGATATTTACCAGGGTCTTATGCCGCTCACATACTTTCTCCCTTTCTAGTGTAGCAAGATGCGGTGATGGCCGTCCAGCGCAACGAGCGCAGCCTCATTTCGTACGGCCGAACTACTGTACAAACGACCGTAACTTTACATCTTATATTTAAGCTCGTGCAATCTAATCAGCGTTGCGATTTTGGCCCTGTCCGGCCCTTGGGTCCGCAATGTTCCTGGCAACCAATCACGGCTTCCGGTTTCCGAAGGATGGATGCATCTGGTTTCCGAACCAGCCGGTCTGGCTTCCGAATCAGCCGTTCTGGTTTACGAATCAGTCGGTCTGGTTCCTGAATCAGCCGTTTTGGTTTAGGAATCAGCCGTTCTGGTTTCCGATTTTTCCATCAACCCACATAGATGCCCAGAAGCTATGAAAGGCCCTGATTGCTGTATAGCTGTCACACAAGATCCGAATCAAACACACGCCCGCACATACTGGACATGGAGCCAAGGCTTTATCGCTTGTACCGGCGATGCTGTCCTTGTCAGCATTTCGTTGGTTACAACTGCCCTGATGTGCTTCGTGACGTACACCCACAACACGCCCGAGACTAGGCAGCATCTACGACGCTGGCAGTGCAGTTGCTCCTGTTGTGTGCGTAGTAATTAATGCAAGATAGTGCGAGAGGACCTCAATCAAACAGGCTAGCCAAAGCCATGACAGCCGCAAGCTTACCGACTATCCAGCTTAATGCTGGGAAGCGACTTCCATCACCACACACGAATCTTTTCCCAGGAGAAATACAACTGGGTTCGGCTCTGGCTGCTGCCCTTGCGCCTGGTGGCTGCCACTGGCATCGTGCTTCGTGCCTCGTCTTAAGTCGCAAACTACGACGACGACTACTACTCCTGCCACAACAACAACAACAACAACAACAACAACAACTACTACTACTACTACTACTACTACTACTACTACAAACTGCTACCAACTACTACCAACTATTACCTACCGCCACCACCACCACGACGACGACTACTAGTACTGCTACTGCTACTGCTACTGCTACTGCTACTGCTGCTACTACTGCTGCTCCTACTAGTACTCCTACCTACTACTACTACTACGACGACGACGACTACTGCCACTACTACTTCTGCCGCTTCTTCTGCGACTACTATTACGCTGTAGTTGTCGTTGCAGTTTCTGTTTCCGTTGCTCTCGCTGTGTTGTTGTTGCTGTTGTTGTTGCGGTTGTTGTTGTTGTTGCTGTAGCCGCTATGGATCACAGCAGGCTGTGTAGCTTTGCTAACAAGGCTCTGGGTACCAACGCTAGAGGCTCGCAACGTGCCCCTTCTGCGAAGCTTAAGGGACCGTCCTCTTACTGAGCCATAGCTGTTCCCGGAGCCGCGTGTCGCTGTGATCTACCGGGTCCCAATTCCCGGACCTCTGTCTGCAGTTATACAACCTTGGCATGAGGTAAGCGGTAGTGGTTTTCACCTTTTCCGCAGGGTGAAAGGAGTCGGTTCGAGTTCTCTCTTTCCGGCGAAACTAGCGGACGGCGCAATCGCCAATGCACCAGCATTCATTTGAGAGCATTCGCAAGAAGGCCTTTCGCAAGGCTTGCATTAAGGTTCATAGAACACAAGAAAGCATCCCGTACCGGAATGGTACGTTGACGCCTGAACATCTGCGTCGCAGTGGACTCACCCCCCCCTCCCCTCCCCCCCTCCCAGTGCAGCCTAGCTCCACGATTTCTCCTTCAGGTCCCTCAGGTTTCTCCGCCAGTTTCCGCTCGCGCCCGAGAGGCGGTCGTGCCAGCAAGTCTCTTCGTGTTCTTTCCTGGAATGCATGGCACCTTGGCATGCAACAATGGGCAGAAGTGAAGACATGGCTTCGCACGGAGGCCAAGTCAGTCTGTGACATTCTTGTCCTTCAGGAAACCCACTGGAGTGAGACAGCAGAATTTGATGTCGAAGGCTGGCACTGCGTAAGCTCCGCCACAAAAGGGGCTGCTCGAGCACCTAAAGGTAAAGCCACTTCAGGGCAACGCCCCAAGCAAGGCGCTGCCACGCAGCCGGCTGTTCACGACACAAGCCGAGCGGACGGCGTCATGGTTCTTCTCTCTCCGCAGATAGACAAGCAGAAGATAAGATGGCGCGAGCAACGCCGGGGAAGGCTCATTCAGGTCATCTTCCCGTGGCTTGGGGCTCGTGTGCATGTACTAGCGGTTTACCAACATGCCTGGTCTTCTAAGAAGACTCCACAGCAGAACAAGGATGACCGCTCACACCTGCTCCGCGATCTGTCGGCTGCGATACGGGCCATTCCAGCGCGAGATACTTTTCTCTTGGCAGGAGACTTTAATGCTCGACTGACCCCGCAGGAGGGTCTGGTAGGTCAGTGTAGCACCAAGCCAGAGCAAACTCAGATGCAGGATGAATCGTTCCAAGCCTTAGTCTCCTCCCATCGGTTGGTAGCTCTTAACACATGGTCTAGTGGTGCAGGTCACACTTTCTTCCTGAATGGTCAGGGATCACAAATTGACTTCCTGCTCACTTCAGAAGCCTCGGCCAAGGGCCTGGCAAAGCAGTCTCGGCCGTGCAAGGATCTTCAGCTCGGCAAATGGAAGAGGGGCGGCCACCTTCCAGTCTTGGCTCAACTCAGACCCACCCAGCACTGGAATCTGCCAAAGCCTACTTGTCCTTGCACGACCTTTCATAAGGAAGCTCTAGAGACGGCTGTCCGTTCAGGTCTGCCAATAGCCGGTCGCATGCAAGACTGGGTGGGCCAGCGTCTGTCCTCTCGGACTCACACGCCTGATGAAGTTAATCAGGTACTGCTGGAGGCCTCTGCACTGTTTTTCCCCAAACCACGGCCTCAGCAAGCTCCTGAAACTGCTCAGCACCGTGCGACGCTGCGAATGTGGAGTCGAGTCGCTCATATTCGTTCTTTGCATGAGGACTCCATAACCACCTTATCCGACCTAGATCAGTCTTTGGAGGACCTGAATCGATGGCATAAGCAGGCTCTCTACGTAGCCAAGAAGGAACGACACCGAGCTTTCCAGGCTGAGGTCGATGAGGCGTGTGCCAGACACGATTCCTACATCGCACATAAGACCTTAAAGAAGCTCCGACCTTGGGAACCCCAAACTAAGGCACAGCTTCAGGGACCGGATGGTCTGCTGTTGGACTCTACCTCTGAGCTCCGCCTGCTTAGAGACCACGTGGAACAGGTCTTTGCCAGACATCCGCCACTCGCACACCAGGTGGACTCGCTGCCGGAAATCCCGGCTGGTCTGCTGGCCAAGCACATAGGCTCCATCAGACCGCACAAGGCGGTACCGCAAGGCTCTGCTCCGGCGGCTGCCTGGCGGCTCTGCTCGGCGGCTGCGGGAGAGGCGCTAGCAGCATCGCTGCAATCTCGGGGGCAACGCCCATTGCCGGCTGCTGAGGTACTTCAGCCGCCCTTAAAGGATGCTGACTTGTGTTTTATCCCAAAGCCTAACAAGCCGGCCACGAAGCCTGGCAATCTACGTCCCCTCGGCATCATTCGACCAGACGGCAAGGGCCTGGCGGGGGCTTGTAGAGATCAGCTGTCTCCCTACACGGCTGACTATCTTCGGGGTCTCCCACAATTTGCCTACCAGCCACATCGCGGTCTTTCAGATGCCTTGAGCAGGGTCGTTGGTCATGTCACTCAGGTACGCAATAACTGCCAGGAGGCCCGACGAACCAGGCATCAGCTTCACTCGGGACGAACTCGTCCCCAGCTAGTAGGTGGCATCTGCTTTGCACTAGACTTGTCACAAGCCTTTGACATGGTGAGCAGAACAGACTTGCTTAGCACACTGCAGGAAGCGGGAGTCCCGCAAGACCTCATTGACCTAGTTGCCTCATTGCATGCTGGCAGTGCTTACACGTTTCGCACCCAGGGTGAAGAGGACACGGTCCAGTCCACTGCGGGCATTAAACAGGGGTGTAAGCTTGCCCCCACACTTTTTTCCATGCTTACGGGCACCATCTTCCGGGAGCTCATAGCTCTTGTTGGGGTTCGAGCCGTGGTGGACTACCTCACGGGCTACGCAGATGACCTTACGGTTCACCGTGACATCCACTCAATGGAGGACCTGGATCGCGCTCATGCTCTGATTGAGCAATTGTTGCAGTTGGTCCGTCGCCATGGATTTGCTGTCAACGGTGCAAAATGCACTGTTATGGTCAAACTCGAGGGCCAACAGGCGCAACGCGCCATCTCCAAGCACACTTATTGGCGCACCGCGCCTGACGGAACCCGCCATAAGATGTGGAGACTGGGAGAGTCCAAGTCTCACGAGGGCTTTCCGCTGGTGACGTCCTTTAAGTATCTCGGCGTCATGCTCTCCTACTCCAACTTCGAGAAGGCTACTCTCAAGTTCCGGTTGCAGGAGGGCAATGTGAAATTGCAGCAGGTACGCCGCTTCGTTCACAACAGACGAACGGCGGGGCCTGCATCGCGGTTGCACATTTGGCATAGCACTGTCTGGGCCACAGTAGCCTCTGGATTGGTGGATGTGGGCTTGACCCTAGAGACAGCTAAACTGTTGCGGGCTTGGCACGCTCGCAAAATTCGAGCTGTCCTGAACAAGCCAGCGCACCTGACACACATATCCACGGCTGACCTCTACGCCTCCCATGAGATCATGGACCCTGTCCGTAAGCTGCAGGCGCGACAGGCCAATCGTGTCAAGCGCTTAGGTGCTCGACGGCGGAAAACTCCTGCGGGGGACATCTCTTTAACCCAGCGCGCGCTTCTCCAGGCGGAGGCACTCTCTACTAGTTATGCAGACGTTCTGCAGCAACTTTCTAAGGACACATCACAGCAGGAGGCCCCCCCGTCCTTCGTGTGCCCAACGTGTGCTCAGGCCTTCGACACTGAGGTCGGTCTTCGCACCCACCAGGCCCGCAAGCATCCAGGCTCGGTCATCAGATATGTCCCTCGAGGCTTCTCCCACACCCTCTCTGTAGGAGGGCTCCCCAAGTGTGCGGCCTGCAACAGGCAATTCCCTCAGATGAAGGGCTTAAAGGACCACTTGCTATCAGGTGCCTGCTCGGAGCCAGCTAGGCTACAGGAGCTGGATGACGCGGCGCACCCTCCCTTGGATTCGCAGCATCAGCCCAGATTGCATCCCAGGCAGCAGCGCTTGCATGACACTCTGACAACACACACGGCTGTGGAGCTCGGACGATCTGATGAGTCTCAGGACCTTATGTCACATTGCTTGCTGTGTGGGTTCTGGACCCCGGACAATACCAAGCTCAAGTCTCACATCCGGCAGGCCCACAAACCTGAATGGGCGGCTCATGGCGCTACAGCTGCAACTCAGAGCAGCAAATCAGGCCTGACCCTTGTCAAGGGCATGCCTTGCCCGTGCTGCCGCAAGCCTGTTACGGATAAGAGGCAGCATCCGGCACAATGTCCGATCCTTTTTCAGATTCTGTTTTATGACTTGGTTCATGCACTTTCCCGCTGCCAGGGCGGACCGTTACGCAGGTACATGCCAGCGGTTGGCACGACACAAGGCAACGCACCCACACGGGACGATACCACCGCTGTTGGAGCAACGCCCCAGACTCGCCAGGCAACGCCTGCAGGCCCCCTGCCACCGAAGTCAGGGACAGTAGAATCAAAGGACGGCGCGCTCGCTGCTCCTCGCTCGCTGCGCAACATCTCCAACTACTGCTATGTTAACTCAACGCTTTCGGCCCTGGTGCCGACGTGCATCTTGCTGGAGCACGGAGGGGCAAGCACCTCCCTCCATCAGGAAGTGGCTGATTCTGTCTCTGGTTCTCCTTTCACCCTGACTGCCTCTTTCACGCTTCGC